TTGCTTTCAGCACCTCTGCCTTAAGTAGGATCCTATTTTATTCTCAAACCTATGAGGTTGATAAAGTAGGAGGCTCCATGGTGGGTGTACGGAGAAGGAAACTATGCAGAGGGTAGGTGACTTGCCCAAGATCACTCACCTAAATCGCAATGAAGCTTGTTACGGCTGCCCAGACAATTGTATGATATACAGGAGGTGGAATCCATTCAGTGAATAAATACTGACTAGGGCCTTCTAAGGACAGGGCCTTTGTGCTAGGGGCTCAGTACTGAGCCCTTACAGCCCTCCCCACATGGGCTGTAAGCTCCTGGAGGGGAGGGACTGCACTTGGTCTGTGCCAGCACACTGCCTGGCGGGGATTCCACACATGCCCCAGAACAAAGGGGAGGAATTCCCTGCGCCCCATGCCCGGCTTGGTGAGGAAAAGGTGCGTGCAGAGGGATGCCTCAAGGGCCATGCCAGAGCTAGGACCAGGTGCTGAGATGAAGGCAGCCTGGGTGCAGTCAAAAACACAGAGCTATGCGTATGGGCTGTGCTTCTCAAACTGTGTCCCCTTGCGCCTGGTGGGGCTTCCAGTGCTGAAGCCAGGTGGGCAGGGAAGCTGAGCAGGCTGGCGCTGCATCCCCTTCCTCACTTCAACTGAGCCCTGTACCTGCTCGGGACACTGGGGGTCCAGGAGTCTGTATTGCATTTTATTACACACAAAAAACAAATCTACCAGTAAGAAAGAAACCAAAGGAAATTTTGAAAACCTATGTCTACTCCACAAACCATTAGAGGTGTTTGTCCTTGGGCAGTTTCTTCACTTACTGAGCCCTTGTTCTCTCATCTACAAAATGAAGTTAATGACACTTGCAGGAAAGTTGTAGCCATGAAGGCACCTGGCAAGGTTACAAGGTCCCTAGAGAATGATAAGTGGTCCTAAAAAGGAGGAGCACCACATGCAGAGAACGAGTCAAAGGACCCAGCAACCTTTTAACCCTAGACATCATGCTGGCTGGAAAACAGGCACGTCCCCAGTCCCTTCCCCAGCCCCACCTGTCCTAGGCAGACTGGACTTTAATCTCCAGGCCCTTAGATGTCACATCAGAATCAGAAAGTGAAGACAGCTGACCTCATCTCGTTTCCTCCCCCTCCTGCCCCAAAGTAGAGCTTCATTTAAACTCTCTGGCCACCGCTGAAACTCCCAAGAATCAAATGAGATCCTGCATCTAAAGATGCATGGTACAGGGACTGCTCCCAACTCATGGTAGCTATTAATATTAGTAACAATAACACATATTGAAGTCTTCATTCTAACCACTCGGCACCTCTGCCAGCTTTCAGTGATGCAGGGCCTGAAACGGCTCCTGGAGGGCAGCTGGACAGGTATGCGGTGGAAAAGAAGGGACGGGGAGGTCAAGTCCTGCCCCTGACCTAGAGGACCCCTGCAGGGTACCTTTAGGCAATCACTTAAATCTCTCTGAGCCTTAACTTCTCTGCTAAAAATGTAAGCATTTTCCTTTTTCATCTTGTGACCTATAGAATAGGGTCACGTGACACTACTGGGGCACTGAGTCCAATGTCATGGTCTTCCTCCTATAACTCAGGGCCTCATGTGTTCCCCTTAACGAAAGCACCCCCAGGTAGACAACCTAAGCTCCTCCCAACTCATTCGCCACATCCCCAACATGTCTCCCCCACTGGCTCCCCCTCATCACCCACTTTCCCCTCGCCACCCAGGTGAGGCCATCACCATCATCAACATCCTGGAAGTTCACAGCCTCTGATGAGCGGGCCTGCCTCTGCTCCTCTCAGCCCCAGCGGGGCCCACCCCTGCCTGCATGACCCAGAACTTGCTTCCTACCTGTGTTTGTCCCCTGGCAAGTCATGGTTGCAGGGATGAAGAGTTATTACCCCAGAAGTGGCCGGAGCACCCACCCTTCACCTGGAGCCTGTGGCCTCCCCAGCTGAGCTCTCACCTTGCTACCAGGCTTCCTCCTCTCTTAATTGAGCATTTGCTCCCTCCATGCCCTGTTTCCAAGTGTCTCTCCCCACATGGGCTGTAAGCTCCTAGAGGGGAGGGACGGCACCTGGTCTGTCCCAGCACGCTGCCTGGCCAGGATTCCAGACATGCTCCAGAACAAAGGGGAGGAATTCCCTGCGCCCCATGCCCAGCTTCGCCCAGGTGCCTAGGTCCTGGCTATACAAAAGGTTTTGGGGGTGGCCTGTGGATAGGGTTTCTCCCGTTAGGTAAAGGCAGGAGGAGCCAGTGGGATTTGGAGCCAGAAAGCCCTGGGTTTGAATCTTGATTCTGTTCCTTGGCCAGCCACTGAGGGCACGTTACTTCCGAGTCTCGGTTACCTCATCTATAAACTGGGCGGAACAGTATCTACTAGGTCAGTGTTGTGGCTGAGCGTTTCTACACGAAGTCAACGGGCCTCTGTAATCCCGGGGACAGTCCAGCGGCTAGACTCTGCAGCGGGCAAGCTGCGCGGAAAGGAAGCTCGCCCGCTGGGGAGCGGTACCGCCACCCACTGACTTCCCTTCGGGGAGCAGCAGACTCGAGGGAGCGGGTAGGAATGTGTAGGTTCTTAGCCAACATAAACATCTCGCACTCCGCTAAGGAGAAGCCAAGCCTTCGGAGACACGGGCTTCTTCCCTCCCCAGAGCCTTTCCCAGAGGACTGGCGCCTCAGCGAGTCCATTCCCAGCCCAGGACCCCAAACGCAGCTTTGGGGAGGGAGACGGTCTTCCTAACCTCCACCCCCAGAAAAGTCTAGCTTCCCGAGAGACGCATCCTGTTACATAAGCCTCACTTTGCAAGTCGATTCTGTTCCTCCACCCCGGATGCGCCTCATTTCTCACAAAGGGGAACCCTTATGGTAAACCGACCAGTAAGTCACTGGTGACCCCAAAGAGAAGAAATATTTCTCAGTGAAGTTTGGGAGCCTCGGGTGCTTGCAAGGCCGCGAACAGAGGCAGCCAGAGTCCGCGCCCCGGGAGCAGCTATGCGAGGCAGGCTCCTCGAGGTTGCTCCCCGCCCAGCCTCCTCCGGACCCAGGTTTGCAACAGGGGGCGGGCACGGGGGGCGCTCACACCCCCGGGCCGACCCTGGAGTTCGCGGGGGG